TGTCACAATTGGGGTTTTGAATAAAACGACCTTTTTCATTTTTTATATTGAAAAAGTAATAAAAATGAGAAATATTAAACTTTTTATTTACTTTGGCTACAAGACCTCCCCCGTAGTATTATGAGTTTAACCACCAAGTTCGGGATGTAACTTATGTGATCTTCTTATATGGTTTGGACAGTATTCTTACCTCTTGAGCTACCGTTTAGATCAGTTGAGTTAGACCTAGACCTAAACTCCATTGTATTAGAGTCTACCCAACCAAAGACGTTGTTTATTTATTATTTATCCGATGTGAATTTCGAAGAATATTCCTTCAACATGATCACCAACATACGTGAAATTATGAGCAGGAAAAGTTTTGAACCAAAATAGGAGATTTATTATAAGCGGCTGCTTAATTGTTACGTTACGCAGTAGTTGAATAAAGAGATTCATATTCATTTCCTTATTTACTCTTTATTGTAATACACACAAATTTTCCTTATCTATTCTTCACACTTATTTACTTATTTCCTTACTTCCCTATTTATACTTTTATTTATTTCCTTGTTCCACTCTTAATTATGCATTTAATTCATGCCCATGAGTACTTTTTTTCTACTATAAATATCCCTCAAATTCTTTGACAAGAAGCGGTAGTTAATGTTTAGCCTTAAAAATTTTCTAATTTTGGTACTACTAATTATAAATATGTTACATACTTTAATTAGGAAAAGAATTTGTGTGAGTTATAATCTTAATCGATTTTAAAGTCCTAAATATTAGAACTTTATAAATATAGGAAAAAGATTAATAACTAAAATTTAATTGATTTTAAGGTCCTAAATATTAGGAAAATAATTTAAATTACAATTTTGTCAAACATGAAATCTATTTTAAAGGATAAAAAAAGCGAACGACATTTCGCTAAGGGCCTTCGTACTTTTAATATACTCTCTCCGGTCCAAAATAAGTGATTTTTTGGATGTTTTCACACAAATTAAGAAATTCACCTTTTAGCATTAATTAGCAATGGAATTGACCATATTAACCTTTACTATCTCACATAAACACTCCTAACACATATTCCAATACCATTTACTTCAAACACAATGTAGGAAAAAAATAATTAATTCATTCTTGAAATCTGAAAAAATCACTTATTTTGGACCACAAGAAAAAGGCCAAAAAATCACTTATTTTGGACCGGAGGAAATAGTGTGTGTATATATATATAAAACGGACCAATTTTCGCCCCAACCCATCAGCCAGCCCAAGCCCATAGGCCTCAAAACCCTCATATACATTCACACACTCCTTCAGCAAAAAAAACCCTAGGACCCTAATTTCTCTGTCATCTTCAACAAAAAACGGAGGATCCCTTCCCCTTTGCTAAAAAAAATCTCATTCTCTGCTGATTTGATCGAAGATGAGTCGGGCAATGGAAGAGGATGCCCCTGTGAAAAATGAGGAAGAGGAGTTCAACACTGGGCCACTTTCTGTCCTGATGATGAGTGTTAAGAATAACACTCAGGTGCTCATAAACTGTAGGAACAACAGGAAACTTCTTGGCCGTGTGAGGGCGTTCGATCGTCACTGCAACATGGTGCTTGAAAATGTTAGGGAAATGTGGACTGAGGTTCCCAAGACTGGAAAAGGAAAAAAGAAGGCTCAGCCTGTTAACAAAGATAGATTTATTAGCAAGATGTTCCTACGGGGAGATTCTGTCATCATTGTCCTCCGAAATCCCAAGTAGAGGTCTGAGTGATTTGGAGCGAAGCAGCTAGGAGTTGGACGACCTTGTTTTACTGGAGAGGGTGCTGTAAGACTTGAAATAGGATTTTGCTCTTCTGTTATCTACTATTTCAGTAAATACATTACTGGTATCCGTCGGAAATGTCACTATTATAAAATGGATTGTTTGATGTTTTCATGGAATATTTTGTTCTTTTTTCTTCCTTTTTCTTCTGTTCTCTTTTTTTAATTCTTTGCAGCAGGGTTACTGATAATCTATGGGTGAATTGTGTTCGACATTTTTCTTGTTGATTTTCACATAAGTAAAGTATTGAATGGTTGTATGGTTTATTTAGAGGAGAGATAGGGGATGATGGGCTCTTGACCTTACTTTATGAAATTAGTTGAAGTAATACTTTATATATGATCATCTAACTCCGTCACAAGAATAATTAGTAGAGGTTCGTCAATTCTCAAACTTACATATTGGTCTCTATAGACACTCCTCGCTGACACTGGACCTATACAAGAGCCATAATTACTCATAACATATTGATAAGTCTATCAACATGTTAGAAAATTTTGAAAAAGATTATCTATTTATTTGTGACGGGAAGGGGAGTTCATCATGATCTTCCAAAAGTATCTATCTTTATCTGCTCTTGTAGCCTCTTGTAGGTAATCGCATCATGTAACAGTACAAAAGATGAATTGGTAGAAGAAGTGGATATGCTCAATCAAAGAAGGAATGCTGCTTGTCAACAACCAGTTGGAGACCGGAAGCTTCAGTAGATTCTCCTCCATTCTGCTATCTTGATCATGTTCGCACCTATCCTATCTTCTCTTTTGGAGTGTCTGCAGGCTCAATTGTAGCGACTGTAGCGTTCCTAAGGAACTAGGGGAGGTCATTGGTTGGTTTGTTACGATTTTGAAAGATTGTATTTTCGGTTTTGGTTTTAAAATATTATACTAATATCATATCGAAATAAATTTGGTATGGTTTGGTTTATTATTTAGTTTTGGTTTGTGCTGTTTGATAACCGCAGAAATCTCATGTTTTTTCTTTGGAAATTCAAAATTTTCGCCCGAATTGGGTTGGAAATTTCAAATGAAATCTCCAAATTCTTGAAATTTCAGACCGAAGTTGGTCGGAAAATCTGAATTTTTTTTTGGTAATTATCATATTTTATTACAAAAGCACGAAATTTACAGCTCAAATCAAACACTAAGTCGACATCTTCCCAGACTTAGCTAGTGTTTGGCCATAGATCTCAAATTTATTTTGAAAAATCTAATTTGAGTGAAGTCTTGTTTGAAGATGAAAATATGTTTGGACATACGTTTTCAAAATATATTTTCCAACTTTATTTTGGAAAAACATGTATATAATTTTAAGTTTTGGGATTTGAGATTTGGGATTTTGCCAAAATATGGGCAAAATTTATGGCCAAACATGAGTTTTGAAAATAAATTCCAAATTTATTTTGGCAAAACTCATGGCCAAACGGGCCTTTAGTTTCATCAAAACTCCCTATACTACCCACTGACTATCAGTTATGTATCAAGCAATACTTCATCTTTGCTCATGGATAAAAGTTTAACTCTTTAAGCCTTCTTCTTAGTCTTGACATCGTATAGCCCCTTCCACATATCATTTGTATAATTTGCTTGATTAGTACCCCTGTTTGTTTTTGCTGAGCTCGAAAAATTCTGTGATTTCTCTCCTAGAAGTTTAACAACTATCGGGGCATCAAGTTACTAAGTCATACCATGAAAGCTTGGGAGAGGGGTGGTGAAGGCGAGGGTGAGGAAAATAGTGTCTATATCTGACAGCCAGTTCGGGTTCATGCTGGATCGCTCGACCACGGAAGCTATCCATCTTATTAGGAGGTTGGTGGAACAGTACAGGGATCGGAAGAAAGATCTGCATATGGTGTTTATTGACTTGGAGAAAGCGTATGACAAGGTCCCTAGAGAGGTGCTATGGAGATGTCTGGAGGTAAAAGCTGTGCCGGTAGCTTATGTTAGAGCGATCAAGGACATGTATGATGGAGCTAAGACTAGGGTAAGGACTGTAGGAAGCGATTCAGAGCATTTCCGGTTGTTATGGGGTTACACCAAGGATCTGCGCTTAGCCCGTTCTTAGTTGCCTTAGTAATGGATGCACTAACACACCATATTCAGGGGGAAGTGCCATGGCGTATGTTATATGCTGATGACATAGTCCTGATTGATGAGACGCGGGACGGTGTTAACGAGAGGTTGGAGGTTTAGAGACAGGCTCTCGAGCCTAAGGGTTTTAAATTGAGCAGGACTAAGACAAAGTACCTGGAGTGTAAGTTCAGCGCCGAGTCGAGGGAAGTAGGCATGGATGTGAGGCTTGGATCACAGGTCATCCCCAAGAGAGGTAGTTTCAAGTACCTTGGGTCGGTTATTCAAGGGGATGAAGAGATCGACGAGGATGTCACTCACTGCATAGGAGTGGGGTGGACGAAATGGAGGCTAGCATCTGGAGTCTTATGTGACAAGAAAGTGTCATCGATACTCAAAGGTAAGTTTTATAGGGCGGTCCATGTTGTATGGGGCAGAGTGTTGGCCAGTTAAGAACTCTCATATCGAGAAGATGAAGGTACCTGATGAGGATGTTGAGGTGGATGTCCGGGCTCACTAGGATAGATAAGATTAGGAATGAAGATATTCGAGAGAAGGTGGGTGTGGCCTCTGCGGATGACAAGATGCGGGAAGCGAGGCTCAAATGGTTCGGCCACGTGCGGAGGAGAAGCCTAGATGCTCCGGTGAGGAGGTGTGAGCTGTTGGCTTTTGTGGGTACGAGAAGAGGTAGATGACGACCTAAGAAGTATTGGGGAGAGGTGATCAGGCAGGACATGACACGATTGCAGATTTTCGAGGCATCGCCCTTGATAGGAAGGTCTGGAGGTCGAGCATTAGGGTTGTAGGATAGAGTGGTAGTCGAGCTTCTCCTTCTCCATTCCGGGGGTGAAGCGAGTTTGAGTAGGTTGGTCGTAGACGGCTTGTGGTTAATGTAGATTTCACACTAACCTTAATGTTTTCCATAGCTCTGGACTTTAGTTGCGGGTTATTGTTATTGCATGTCATCTATTATATGGTTTTTAGGATGTTGTCATTATTTCTATGGTTATGTTGATGATACTGATGAATTATCTTTTCTTATTTTCTTGTTTTATTTCCATCTTCCTGAGCCAAGGGTCTATCGGAAACAACCTCTCTGCCCTATTGAGGTAGGGGTAAGGTCTACGTACACACTACCCTTCCCTGACCCCACTTAGTGGGACTTTATTGGGTTGTTGTTGTTGTTGTCTCTCCTGCCACACATAGTAGACACAACCTGCTAGGGCCATTCTGTAGATTTCAGCATTTGCTGATCTACCTTTTGCATTGTTGTATGCCCGCTCTACTTCTTGACTCCATTTCATCGTTTGCCTATTAATGCCCATCCACTGCAGTAGGTTCCTCCAAATTGATGCTGTAAAAGTACACTTGAAAAATAATTGCTCAATGCTTTCCTCTTCTATATTGCACATAGGAGACAGTAGCTCATTAGTTACTCCCCATCTTGCTAGCCTATCTCTTGTATTCAACTTGCCCAGTATAGCCATGTATAGAATAAAAATCCACTTTGGCATTCCTCCATTATTGCATACTAGCTTCCTCCAAGGCATCTTCTGTTGTTCATTTCTTAACATCTTGTATATACTATTAATGGTTATGTGCTCCTTCTCAAGTATCTCTACCATATTGACCCCAGCATCTATCATGTATTGTTTAGCCTTCAAATCTTTTTCACCGGCCATGAAGCTTGATTAGCCTCAATATGTCTTATATCTCTGCCTTTCCCATAGTAAGTATGGATTCACTGCACGCATAGCTTGTCCTTCTTTTGAGCTAAATTCCATAACAGTTTACATATGGCAGCCTTGTTCCACAATGCAATGTCTAGCAAATTCCAGTCCCCATTAGCTTTTGGTTGACACAGCTTGTCCCATGCCACTAAAGTTCTTTTTGACACATCAACACACCCAGACCATAGGAACTTTCTGCATATCGATTCTATGAGATGGATCACCTTCTTTGGGAAGACAAATATTTGGGACCAATAAATTTGAATTGATAACAGAACACTCTTAATAAATTAGATCCGACCAGCATATGAAAGGAATTTTGCAGTCCAGGATGTTATTCTACCAATCATCCTGTCTAGCAATGGTTGGAACTGAATGATTGACATTCTTAAAGGTTTAATTATTTTCGAAATTATTTCATTAGTAATTATTTTCATGATAAAACTTTACAATTTCGAATGTCAATAGTTTATAGGTGAAATGATAATTTTAAAATTACCTAAAAATGTTAATTCAAAGGGGTTTTTAATTCATGCAAATGATGAATTATGTATTCTTCCCTTACCTCAAAGTATTATTGATTAGATAAGATTTACTCATTGCTATACAATATTATTGGTACTCTAAGGTAATATTTCATTTTTGAGAAAAGGCATCATAATTGGTCAAAATAGCACGGTATAGCCAGTTTTCGCACTGGTCAATCAAAAATAGCCAGCGTTTACCAAGTCAATGAAAAATAGCCACTATTTTGCTGCAATAGAGACCGGTCCCGTATAATATACGGGAGTTCGGTGCATTTGTGTACGAACTCCAGCATATTATGCTGGACCGGTATACTTTGTTGACTCCTGTATACTATACGGGAGACTGGAGCACCGGTGCTCCAAACTCCAGTATATTATACTGGACATTTATACTTGCTGGAACTCCAGTATATTATGCGGGAGTTTCAGCATAATTATACTTGAACTCCCGCATATTATACGGGAGTTCCAGCATAGTTATCCNCCGCATATTATACGGGAGTTCCAGCATAGTTATCCTGGAACTCCCGTATAATATGCGGGAGTTCAAGCATACTTATGCTGGAACTCCCGTATAATATGCGGGCGTATTTTCCGGATTTTGAACAGTGTTTTCGCTCAGGTTTATCTTTACATGAAAAGTGGCTAAATTTCGATTACTTTTGCTATTTTTGAATGACCAGTTGTAAATTTGGCTATTTTTAAATTTTTCCCTCATAATTGAGGTCATTTTTTGACATTTATAAAAGTACGGGCAATGAACCAACTCATTTTTTTGCTGTTGAGCTAATATCCGGAGGTTTAATTTGTTATCTCATTCAAATAGTGAAAGCGATTATTGTTTCCCAAAGTTCAAAAGTAAAATAATTCATATTTATTTTCTTATCTATATTTGTGCGTTAATAATTCATAAATGACATAATTGTTTATTTATTTATTGTTCTTGAACTAAATACAACTTTTCAGTAGTTGAGAAGGATAAGGACAAGAAATAATTCATACTTATTTCCTTAGTTATGTACTTTTAGTAATTCCGTTTCCAAAGTTTATTAGGTTCAACGAGCCCTAAATTTGTGAGATTCAATTCAACTAGTTGAATCCCAAGTTGTATGGGATTTGGAAATAATTCATACTTATTGCTGCTAACTGTAAATATGGCCTTAATTAAGTCTTTTGCAAATATCACTCAAAATCTCAGCTCTCAACAATATACTCTCTCTGTTCCAGTTTATGTGAACCTATTTCCTTTTTGGTCCGTTCCAAAAAGAAAGACCCCTTTCTAAATTTGGTAATGATTTAGCTTAAATTTACAATTCTACCCTTAATGAGAAGTTTTTATAATCACACAAATACTCTGTGCCCCTTTTTTTGACTTGTTTAGGACCATAAATTCCAAAAGTCTTTATTTTTTTAAACTTCGTGTCCAATCAGACGGATTCACATAAATTGGAACGGGAGGGAGTATATAATTACTACTAATAAAGATGGCAGATATAGAGGATGAATGTTGTGCAACAGTTGGTCTTAGTTTTCTCACATGCCTTTACTTCATCTTCTATTTGCTGGTTGAATTATTTGTAATCAGTTTCATATGTTAAGTTGCATTCAAACCACCAACTTGTTTACCACATAAGTTATATATATGTCTCAAAATCTCTGCAGTTACACTTGAGGGAAATATCTAAATGAGAAGCATTAGAACAAAGAATAGAAGCTAAACATGATTGGTTGGAATCCCAAGTAACACGAGTTAGCGTACGATAAAGCTACCCGAGCAAAAGAGTGAGCCGCTTTATTAGCATCCACCTAGTCCAATGGAAGGACACATCATGAAACTGATTCTTCAAAGACAAACAATCCCCAATTATGTTATAAATTCCGACAAATTAGGCACGATTGAATCAAGAGCTCTTGACAATACCATCATCTTATCAATATTTAAGCCTTTGAGCTATGAAAGCGCTTCACAAAGAGAGAAAGCTTCAGCATTATGGTAACTAATACGAATGTGGTGAGTTTCTAGAGCTAAGAAGCCCTGACCAACGAGCAGATAACACTGTAACATTATTTACAAACTTTATTAAGATTGTTGCTGCTTATTTGTTGGTCAATACATTTCAAGTTACAATGACAGAGAATTAACTGCACAATACCAAGTGTAAATGCAAAATTAGATATACAAATGAAGAACAAGACGGTAAGTAAGATGAGAGTTAACAAAAGGAACCAAAAAGATGAAGTGGAATGAAAACGAATAAAGTATGTATTGAGTATATAGTAGTTGAGAATTCAGTTGTAACTCAGCAAGCAGTGTTGCTACCTTGTATGCTAACGTGCAAGTTTCAGTTCTGTAACTCGCACAGAATATCAAATTTCCTTATAATTTCATAAGAAGATCATCTGCATAAAGTTGAATGTAGATGATAAGCAAAATCAGAAGCACATGAACTAGATTACTAATGCAGTGGATACAAATTCACAAGTTGAAACAAGCTAAAGTATATCAAAGGATCAGATTTGTTATGCTCTCAAGTCACTGAAAAAAGAAAACTAGCAAGATTTTGGATTTTGTAGAAAGCATGTTAAGACAGAATTTCCATTTATTAGGTCCCTTTTGTGTCTTTGGCACATCTTAATGACACTATCTCCTTCCTTTTTCTTTTTTCTTTTTATATCTTTTTACGCTAAAAGAAGGGAAATCTTGGAGCAACTGTAAAGTTGTCTCTGTGTGACCTATATGTCACGGGTTCAAGCCATGGAAGCAGCCACTAATGCTTGCATTAAAGTAGGTTGTCTACATCACACCCCTTAGGTGCGACCCTTCCCCGGATCCTGCGTGAATATCTTGTGCATCAGGCTGGCCTTTTTCTTTTTGCGCTAGAACAGACATGTGCAACAGCTAAACTAGTTCAGGTAAATATTCTATCTTCTCCACACTCATCATCTTTCTATTGTTTCAAGCTCTATCATCTGATATGCTTCCGGAACTTATCCCGGTGTTAGACAAGGACCAGATTTCTTTCGGAAAAAGCTTTCAGTCATTAAAATCTCAAAGAAGGTTAAGATTGAATCCGAATTCTACAACATTTGAGGCTCCTGTCCAGCAAAAACAACGTAAACACTATATCCGCTAACAAACTTGTAGAGCACACAAAGACAATTTTACTCAAGTCAAAGTGAGTGCTTTCCGTTAACTGAAGTGAAGACTAACAACCTAAAGATATCATAATAACATACAACACTATAGAAAATTAATTGAGATAACCATATTTAAACCATGAAAATTACCATGGTAAAAGATTGAAGTTTTACCAGCTTAACTCTTCTTGGACAAGATTGCGACTGTACAAAGGAAACTCAAAAAGGAATACAGTTTTGAACCATGGAGGAAGCTTTCCATATAATCCAGGGGGCAGCAAAATGAAAGGGCTGAAACATTCAAATTTTTCGAATCAATGTTACCATTTTCCATCAATAATCAGGAAAAAAGCAGTTAGAATCTATGTGCTGACCTTGTTGTCCTCTTATATACTCTATATTCAGCCACATTTCCATGTTTCTTGTCTGCTGATTCCTGTTTGATGTACACTTCAATGGTATAAGTTCATGTTTGAAGGGGCAAATGCGATAGTCAAAAGAAATAAGTCGACGATAGCACCTCAAGCAGGGGTATGCCACTAACAAAAAGAAGCAGCAATGTTAAGAATACTGGTCCAAGAATAACGAGCCATTCAGCACCCTCGAGCACTGGTATCGAAGCCACAAATATTCCCCACCACAGAAGGATCTGAAGACAAGTAAAAAAGCACGATGTAGTTTAATGATAGATGAAACTGGAAAAAGATGGAAAAAATACAACCAAGAAATGGAGATTTCAAGAATCCAAATAAACCAAATAAGCATTTCTGTACTCTTTCATGTGAAACGCCAACACTTGTTATGCGGAGAGAACATATTATTACGTTGGTAGCCTAAAGAAGAAAATCTTATTGATTTGCCTCAGCCGTCTAACCAACCAAACCGAAAAAACTCTATCCTTTCGATTTTTTGACATATAACCACTTCAGCTCATTATGCAGAAAAGGACCCCTCACCACTCCCTGCTCGTTAAAAGAGGCAATGTATCATTGCTCGAGACATGAAATAAACACATCACGAAAGGATAATCAAATATTGTGTGATTGAAACCAATGAGCTGTAAGCTTCAGGATTTGATTTGTGCACAGCACTGTGTAAATTGACAACTTGTTGCTATGAATTCGTATTATTCCCATTGTCCCACTTTACTAGTCCTATGTTGACTGGGCAGAGGAAGTTAAAAACTATGGTATTCTAAAGAATGTAAACATAGTAGAGCTGTAGAGTTGAAAATTACTTTACAGGAAGATTGAGATGTTCCATGTACTTATAATGTAAACCATTCCATTTAAGAAAAATGGACATCATATTGCCACCAACCGAAAAGGGAAGTAGGACCTCAATATCTGAATAAGGGATAGCCTGGTGCACTAAGCTCCTGCTATGCACAGGGTCCGGGGAAGGGCCGGACCAAAAGGATCTATTGTAGGCAGCCTTACCCTGCATTTCTGCAAGAGGTTGTTTCCACGGCTTGAACCCGTGACCTCCTAATCACATGGAAATAACTTTACCAGTTACGCCAAGGCTCCCTTCAATATTTGAATGAAGGGAATATTTCTTAGGAAGATAAGTAGGATCATATAGGGATCAAAACCTTCTATGTGGTACAATAATGCTTGTGTATGAAACATTCTCAGCACAGAAGCAAGAGAACTCTAGATCCGACATGTTTAGCCCCGAGGAAATCAAATTTCTATATCCCAGCAATATAAAGAGAAAATTGAAAGTCTGACCTCGCCAAAATAGTTTGGATGACGGGAATACTTCCAAACTCCAACATTGCACCACTTTCCTCTATTCTCTGGGGAGTTCTTGAATGCCAACTTTTGTTGATCAGCTGTAATCTCTACTGAAAATCCAATAGACCACATAATCCAACCAATGATGTCTACTGCTTGAAGAGATGGCTGGTGGTCACTTGCATTAACAACTGTTACCGGTAAACTAACAGTCCATACCCAGATTGCCTGTAATGGAAATGAAACTGTGATTCACATTATGTGAGAAAAATCTTATCTTGCTGTAAGCATAAACCAGGATATCCATGATAATTTGGTAAGATGGTTTTGAAAAGGAAGTAGAACCTGAAATATCCAAAACACTGCCAATTTACCCAGATTATCACGCTTATCATCAAAACGTCTATCCTCGCCCCACTGTAATATCCTGGTTAGAACAAAAAGGGTAATTAGTATCTGTCACGAACATTCCTCTCTGGTTTTTCAACAGAACACAATGATATTGTAATCAAGCAAACTGAAATATCATATCACTTGTGCAAGATTGAGCTATTGCATTCAACACACCTCCAATGTGACTTTAAGATGTGTGCATTATCTTTTTTCAGAGAAAAAAGGAGATCTCCACTGTAATATCCTGATTAACACATTCACTAATGTGGAATGATGCCTAGAAGTGCTAGTGAAAGTCAACACTAGTATATGAAGTTGAGAGGGAAAGGATAGAGAGTGCTCGACTGCTCGTACTGTAAAGAAGCAGAGGAAACATTTCGACAGAAACTTAAATGTGGAGGTGGTAATATTAGGAGTATTTATCGGAGTGGTGTTCATCAGTACTATCCACACAGTGTAACATTAAGTTACAAAAATAGGATGCTGTACATACAACTAGAGCATGAAAACACTGTAAGAGGATTTTATGAATCTAGAATTGTGAGAAAGACAGAATTAGGCTCTAATGTGAAAAGAGCAATTATCTGCTTTCTTGAAAATACTAACACATGACACACAATAAAATAGTGGTCTTACCTCATTAATAGAAATAGCCCGAGTCGAAGGCCCCATAACACGACAAACACAGACAAAACCACCTGAAAGATAAGCAAAATAGACATTAAAAAAATACATATGCAACAACTTTGGGGCATGCTTAATTATGTATTTAAGCTCATTCTTGATCCAAATATGCACAAAATGCCGCCAATATGTGCAACAAAAACATAAAAGCTTTTAAGATTGACTTCATTGGAGCAAGAAATTCTCAAAGTGGAGCAATAATGCAGTTCCATTTCAAAGCATGGAAGTGCTTCTTGAAAGCAAAGTTCCCATTTGGACTGACTAAAGGTATATGGGACAAAGAGGAAGGAAAGCTGCTCTTCTTTCTATTCTCTTGTGTGGGCTGGGAGAGAGATGTCAATAAAAACAAGTTAAACCAAATTAGACCAACTGCAATATTAATCAGAAACTGAAAAAACCAACTTACCTGTCGAAAATTCCATGAACCCTTTAGTATCAAAGTTAATATTGCAAGCACAATGAAATTTGTACCTCCTGTGTGAAGAAGATGAGAAAATGACAGACATCATTAACAAAAAGTGATAGATCATGGTTCATATATAATTGAGCTTCTGTTAGCAGTAACATGGTGAACTTCAAAAATAAATGCAAATCCCTTTGATATCTGTGACACCCTAGGTGAATCCTACATCGACAAAATACAAGAGAGATGCTAAGAAAGTGAAGAGCTTTATAAGGAATGATACAAGTTCACATGGTGCGTGCGCGTGGCGTAGCCCGAAAGATAAATCCGTACGGAACTAGGCCCGAAGCAGACAATGAGTGCCATGGGCTTGGGTCTTATTCCACAATAAATGCAAATCCCTATGATATTATTTGAGAAATCAAAGTCTTATTGCACCCAAAAATGGATTCGTTATTCTTAAATGCAAACTTCAAGGAACAAGGCGTGCTGATCTTGCTACCAACACGCCTTTTACTTGACTTTGAAAAGCTCCAAAATAGGCACAAAGCAGTTATTCTTTAAGGAAAACAAATTCTAAACTATTATATTGATTACACTAAACATAGTTTTAGAGGACAAACATTCTTACCCGCGAAGTCAGTGACTTTATCAAACTTGAGGAGTGCTGTAATTATAAAAAAGATAAACTGGTAACCAACCTGCCAACAAAAAGATAATAAACGTGCGAATTAATTAGATTGAATTTCTTTGTTTGTAAAGGATGGTGTAAATGAAAAGAATGAGGAGGTTGTTACTGTAACAATGGCAGTTAGTCCCAAGAAATGGGAGTCAATAACTGTCCCCATTGATTGACTCTTCCAACAAATGGTACGTACTACTGTCTGTCTGAACTTCAATTGGTTAATTAATTTGTCTTTGTTTATTCGGCTTGTTTAATGGAATCCTTACTGTATTGTACTACGTCACCACTAATATTGTCCTCATAATCTACTGCCTTTTCTGTGGTTAGGATTTGTTGTTGAATTTTGCTGCTTTTGACGAGTCTTCTGTCTTCCTATACCCAAATCTTCTCATTTAATCTTCTCGCTCATGATTTTTGATTCCTTCCTTGTTTACCTTAGCTACTACTATAAATTTTGATTCCTTCCTTTTGTTTTACACTGATTTAAAAGATTGGAAATCATGACCCTGCACCTGCGAAACCAGGAACTTATTCAAAAGTGTTTTGAAACTTGAAAGAAGTGAAAAAAATTTGTATATTTATATACCCCTGAAACCTAATATTTTACCGGTATATGCAGTATAATTTTTGGACGAAAGGGTGATCAATTAACCACCACCCTTTAAGGACAAAATAGCACGGTCTAGCCAGTTTCCGGACTGGTCATTCAAAAATAGCCAGCATTTACCAAGTCAATGAAAAATAGTCACTGTTTTGCTGCAACAGAGACCGGTCCAGCATAATATATCGGAGTTCGGTGCACCTGTGTATGAACTTCTAGCATATTATGCTGGACTCCAACACACGGAAAGTTCCACCATAATATACTGGAGATTTGAGCACTTGTGTATGAACTTCCAGCATATTATACTGGACCAGTATACTTTGCTGGAACTCTAGTATATTATGCTGGAGTTCCAACATACTTATCCTGGAAATCCAGTATAATATGCTGGAGTTCAAGTATACTTATGCTGGAGCTCCAGCATAATTTACTGGCGAATTTTTTGGGTTTTGGACAGTGTTTTCGCTTAAATTTATCTTTACATGAAAAGTGACTAGATTTCAATTACTTTTGAAACTGGACTATTTTTGAACGACCACTTGTAAATCTGGCTATTTTTGAATTTCTCCGCCCTACATGTAACTTCGCTCCCGTGAGCATGTAAGATGGTACTATATATTTGTAGGAACTACTGATTTCAATGCCGTACTTCTGTCCTTGAGAAAGTATAACATGCATATTACCCCATTGTTTATTACGTCTATGCCCCAATTGTGTTAACGAGAATCAAATTTTTTAATTTTGATCGTGAATCCAGTTATTGAATCTTTAAAAAAATTTAAAATAAAATTTACATATTTGAAAACTACGTAAAAATAAGTCAATAATTAACAATGCAAATATTTAAAAAGTATATGACAAAATCGTGGGACTCTCGAAATCCGAACACTGCCATCTAACTTTGGGACGGAGAGAGTGCATTCTTTGCGTTTGGGTTATTTAACGCTTATTGAAGAGGAGAGTATGAGCTTCTGTTAAGCAACAATTTCCTTTTTAATTACAAAAGAGAATTTCAAGATGAATATACAAAGGGCAGATAGACAATTTTCAGGACTGGGGAACACTGCCAAAAATACTAAAAAGATGAAACAAAAGAATCACCATTGGCTCAATATGAAGTATGTGTTTGTCAGGATCTTTTGATGCCTTCCTTTAGTTTCTTGTGCACAAATTTACACTTGTCATCCTTTCTAACAAGAGATACTCCCCTTTCCTCCTTCACTAACCCTGATCTGCAGTTGGATCTTCTACGATTCGCGATGGCTGACCCTTTATCGGACCTCTGCCAGCCGGTGGTCTTGGTGCCTGTGAACTAATAGGCTTTTGTAGTGGTTTCAAAGCAGCCATAATCTCAGCAAATGAAGGCCGTAACCTCGGATCTCTGCACGTAGAAAAGCACATCGTTTAATCATCTATGTTTATCCTGAACTAGTCGCGGTCGGCTATATCAATCATCTGTATCCTTTATGTGTGTTCAGAAAAGCATCAACTAAAAATTTACAACCAGCAGGATGCCTGACCAGAATTCAGCAAAAGCTAATGAAAGAATCTACTAGCTGGTCGCCACAGGACCGAAACATTATAGATACTCACGTTTGCCAGCATTTCCTGATAATGTCTGCAACAGCCGGATCCATGTCCTCTGGTATGTCAAGACGTCGGTGCTGAAATCCCACAGCACCAACAACTTGCATCGGGTTCATTCCTCCCCATGGTTGCTGCAAAGTACAGAGCTCCCATAGTATGACACCGAAGCTATATACATCACATCTGCAGCTCACAGTTTAATAGTCCAACATCAGCATCATATACCAGGAAGAAATACACAGAATTTATTTTTGAAAATGTCACCCTATACTGCCTGGAATTTTTCTAAACCATTTTTTTGACATACTTTTCATTGGAAGGTTCATTTCTCAGCACTTCTGGGGCCATCCACTCTGCCTGAGAAACAAAATGACTCAAAGGATTATGAGATCTGATTTGGAAAACCACGACATATATAGCAAAGCTAAGAAACCAATCAAATGTTTCACATTTCAGAAGTACATAAATACACTTAAAAGATCTCTAAACAAGCATAACAGTGGCCAATCTGCACTAAATAACCAAAATTTTATACTTCGATGCATGTTAACTCATAAAGAAAAAATATCACATGCTATACCTCCGCAAGTCTAAAGGAAATTGGTGTACTACCTCTATTGTTAACTTTCTATCCTTAATATTGCAAACGTGTGCTGCAAAAAGCTTAACTACACAGTGTCTTCCACGAAAATATCAAAGAGTACAGCTTTGTTTTGTATCAAAATTGACATGTTTACCAATCACCATCATGAGCAAGTATACTCCGATAAAGTAGCTAATTACCTTGAAATATCCAAAAAAAATGAGAAGCTTTAATATTTAATCCAAGGTCAATAAAACAGCAGAAAGTAATGTCAAATAGAAGCTGGCTTTGTAATGTTTTAGGAGAATGCAACCATGTGCACAAACAACAAGGCAAATACTTTTTCACAACTCTGAAATCAAGTGTTTTTACTTTGATATAGAATGAAAAAGTAAAATATTGAATTGGGAGCCTAGATACTCTTCCCTGAAAAGGTAAACCTCTCATGAATTTTATTTTCCGAACCACAGATTATAGCAACAACATTTTTTCAGGAGAAACATGGCAATAAAAACATCTTCAAGGGCCAGAGAGTATAAGGACCAACAGCGTTGACCTTATCTTCTAAAGGGCTGATATAAAATGATGTGCAATTATTAGCCAGTATACAGGACAGAAGCATTACAATTTACATCAAGAAAGGCTCTCCAAAGAAATACCCAGGCACGGTGTGGAACAAAAAACACAATATATAAGAGAAATATCAATCATCGGGAAAAAATTAAGTTATATTGTCAAGACCAGCAGCTTTAGAATGCAACAAGGAGGTGCTTACCGTCCCAGCAGTCGACCTGGATGAAAGAAATGTGCTGTTCTTCATTCTTGACAGTCCAAAATCACATACCTAGAGTCAGAAAAAATCAAAACATATCACATGGATTCTTAGTGAAAAGCAAGCAGCAACATACCCTAGTTTTAAGAGTTAAAAGGAATTCCACCTTCACAACCCAGTTCTTATCTACTAGGAGATTTGGAGACTTCAAATCTCGATGAACTATCATGGGTGTGCAGTTGTGTAGATAGTTCATCCCTCGAGCCTGTTAGTTTAGTAAATCACACAGATCAGAAAGTCACAAACTAATATAGATGGATTAACATGTGGAGAGGCTTAAAAATGAAAAAAGTGGAGCATACAGCATCAAGAGCCATCCTCAACCTTCTGCGCTCATCTAACTGATTGTTGGGTCGATGGATTAATCTGTATAAACTACCTCTGTAGACCAAAAAAGATATTTTGAATTCAAGTTATCATTACCACAGTTCGAATTCCAGCTGACTGATGGTTCTATTTCAGGTTTCCAGGTTAACATATAAACCACCACTTAACATAAACTGACGACCAAAACCACCATAAAAGTGAGGTATATTTCAATTATCTCTAAATTTCCCGAAATATTTAACATACCTATGAAGAAACTCAGTAACAATTGAAAGATGTGGAGAACGAGTGACAGCCCCCATGAATAAAACAACATTAGGATGCCTGAGCCTTTTCATGATCCGCACCTTGCAAGCCACAAGATGAATTTAGAGTATACAATCAAATTGCAATCCAGAAGTTAAGGTAAGCAACACGTCAGAAGATGAAACACTGTGATGCTATCATCATTCATCACAGCTAGGGAAACTGGATTGGTCTAGTGTCAGAATTCAGAAAGCGATTAAAATGGATTGATGCACACAATACCTTCGGCAACGCCCTTCAGAAAGAAAATCTCATGAAAAATTTCATCGGCTTTGTTAATAATGCAGCAGAACTATTAAATAAATAACTATTTTTCTTTGAAGTTAAAATAAATAATTATACCACCTTGCTATATGATACAAAGTGGTAATTTCTTGCCGAATTATCTCTTATCCAGAAGATAGTTTAAGCCCAAATTACCTCAAGAACAAAATTGTTCACCAGCTTTAATAATAATACGGCAGAACTGTTAATGATGACCACACATCATGCTATGTATATATATTTGAAAATTCATTACCGCGACTTACAGCAAGAAAAGCCCGTAGGAGATTATTAACGTGATCAGGAAAAGCATAACTACAAATCAACAGGTCTATATGCCTTGATTTCACTAAATACCTATGTATCATCAGGTATGAGTTAGGAAAAAAGGTGACAAATGTTTTTCAGTTTTCTGGTAACTTGAAATTTTGATGAAACCAACCAAAACAGAAATGAATACTAAATATCAGGTTGTGTATTGCTATATATTTGTTCCAAGTAATGTTGGAATACAGTTCAGATACAATATCTGGTACGTACTTTTCCCTTGAACTTTTTTGCTTAACAGATAGAAGAATCCTCTGGTCAGGTAGGAGTATGCTAAAAGCAACATTGCCTCTTTTGGTGAGCACAATGGAATCCAAGTTAATTATTAGAAAAGGCAAGATTACGAACTCAGACTCGAGAAGGAGTTTCCCGCAAGTGCACCACGGTTAATTCAGGTTTTACCCAGTCCGATGACCCTCAGAAATTGTTTGCACCCAGTGGGTTTCGAACTTGAGACCTTGAAAGGGAGCAAACCCCAAGGCTCAAGTCTATTGCCACCAGGCCAACCCCTGAGGGTTAATTATTCCCTCCAAGATCTTGCCATCAGCTTTTAAAACTTATTCAAGAGTGAGATTTCTAGGGGCATGATGATAGTTTCAAGCGTTGTAATATTTAAGAGCACTGATATTGGCCTATGTTAGACAAGGGTAATACCTCACTTCTAAATTCTTCGAGGGAGTCACCGGTTATATCTTGATCCAGAAACTTCTTCACAGCAACTTCCTGAAAATAAGAAGGCTTAATCTGTTTGTAGCACTTAAGTGCAGTCTATTTGTTTTCATTTAAATTTGATGACAGTAATGAATGAATGAATTAACAGAAGCTATCGTACAAGATTACATGTATGCTACAAATGCATTGACCCACAACCAGACAGGTTCAGCAAAAACTCAGCAGTCGAAAAAGCAGAGATATCATCATATCAAATTTGAAATACAGAATTTTAAGCAGATGCTCAAGTGTAAACAATGTCTAGTATGTAACGGAAATTTGATCCACAAGAGAGTTGCAAAAAGATCAAGGAATCTTCTCATTATTAAGTTCTTGAATATTTGACCCGCAATTTGGATCTGTTAGTTTAAATTGCAATCTATCTAGTTATTCAGCTAGATAAAAAAGAAAGCTCTGCCTTTTAGAGTGAAGGAAACAAATACCACGTACTATTTCTTTTGAACCAACCCCAAAAAAATTAAATGAAACCCCCAATTGGCACAAGGATAATGAACTTACAGTTCCATGCCAGTCTCCGCGATAGACCTCTCCATAGGATCCTAGAACATAGAGAATATGAGAAGTGCCAGATAACAGAGTTTAAATCACCTACACCACAAAAGCTTCAAGCTTGGTAAAACATAATGCAGGTCATACCAAGTCCGATACGCTCACCCAAGGTGATATCCTCCCATGGAATCTCACAATCTGCCACATCATCAAGTGTCACATCTGATTTAGCGCTATCATTACCGCTTGACCTATCTGATATTCTTTCACCCTCTGAATTTGCTCCTAGCGCCTCATGCTCTTGATCACCACTTCGCTGGTGCTCATAAATGGCAGTATCAGCATCTCCATCAACTCTTCCACAATCTACATGATTAAGGAAGACAGAAGGATTAACCGGTGAATGGCACATCTCTCCAAATTTTCATTTTGTTACCAAAATGGAACAAACAATTTGTTGGCAAGTTGTATATACCTCCTAGTGCCTCGTATTGCCTACTGACAGCTGCAGTTGTTGCTACCACTGCTGCAGCTGTGGCAGTGGCAGCAGCTGCTACAGGGAGATCCGTATGAGAGTTAGTCTTGGCTGCAGCAACTACCATCGAAGAGGCAACAACAGCTGCTGCTGCGGCGGCGGCAGCAGCAACAGGCATTTGTTTCATAGGTTTCAACGGAGCTACTTCAGTCTGTCTGGAGACTTGCTGTTCCCCAACTTCTCTCACATCTGGCTGAGGTTCGAATGATCCACGTGCATTGCCCTTGGAGTATGAACCATGATAAGGCAGAGGAGGTAAGAAGCGGGCACGGTTTGCATCGGATTGACCCTTGAACTGGAACTCGTCTCTTTCCTTACTTTCTATTTCCTCTAGTCTGTATTTTCCCTCTACATGAGATACATCTAATTGCTCCGGATACATTTCAGCGAACAGGTTTGGTGGTGCAATAACTCCACTTTCAAGTAAAACAGTGTGAAGTTTTTGAGCTAGCTGTGGATTTTCTTTGGCGGCATCAATCATGTATTGTGAAGCATCCTTTACTTTCATTCTGCGTACAGCAGGCGAGCTAACACCTTCTGTCCACGAAGGAGATCTTGCATGTGAAAAAGGAGATCTTGCATGCCCAGCTCTCGAAGAAGTTTCTTGCCCCTGCGCCTTCGTAAAATCGTGGAAAGTATTATAACATCCTTTCTCTGCTTTTATCTGCTGTTCCAAATTACTAGAAGAGGGAGATTCATTTCCTGCAGTAGTGCTTTCTGCAAACCTGGATCTCTTGTCTGCCATTCCATAATCTGAATGATCTTCCAATGATGAAGCAATACCACTACTAGAGGAACCCGGATGAGAATCAACATCTTTAGAGGACGGACTGATGGAGAGAATAGATTCTTCATAGTCTCCATGAATTCCAGATGTATCAGATGGAATAAGTGTACCGGGGTCAGCCATCAAATCGACAATATACTCCCTGCAAATGTATCATCTACTTTGTAAATAGAAAAAGACAATTTTAGAAGAAATAATACTATCAAAAAATTATCTCAAACAAAGTATTCAACAAATCTCTGCAGTACAAAAACAACAGCACCAATTTAAGATCATAACATGCTGCAGATTATGAAGGAAATGGGAGAAACAAATTCACATTCCAAATAAATTAGAGGTTTTTGAAACGTTTTATCAACTAAACTAAACAAACTTTTCAAGAATTCTATCCTAAATTTTGAACATTATGCTTCAGATTGCTGTCAAAGGGACGTTTGAGGGGTGCTTAAGCCCTAAAGTGAGACGGAGGGCAAGCTCTGCATATTACCTGGCTTGGTGGTGAGCACATGTGAAATTTTGGAAGGATAAGTGGCTAGGGAACTTCACACTTCAAGAAACCTTCCCCACTCTATTCCACCTAGCTACTGATCCTAACTCAACGGTTGCACAGAATAGATCCAACAACACTTGGGAGGTCCTTTTCAGGAGAAACATACAAGGCTGGGAGGTAGAAGAAGTGATTGATCTACTTGGAAGGTTAGCAAATTGTACAATGAGTATCCAGCACACAGATAAGCTAAGATGGGGCACTTCTAAGGAAGGGGCATATACAGTGAAGGCAGGCTACAATAAACTTTGTGCTTTGAATGAAGTTATTGACATGTGGCCTTGGAAGCTAATCAAACTGCCTAGAAAGGTCAGCTGTTTTGCATGGACGACTCTTAAAGGTGCTATTTTGACACAAGACAATCTTTGTAGGAGGAGATTCCAGATTGTTAATAGATGCCACATGTGTAAGCTAAACTCAGAATCAATCAATCACCTATTTTTGCATTGCACAGTGGCTACTGATCTCTGGCACATGTTCTTCTCAATTTTTGGTATCAGCTGGACACTACCTCAGAACATTAAGGAAGCAGTTGAAAGCTGGAACTTTTGGAAAGTCAGCAAGGCCATCAAAAGTATCTGGAAAATGGTCCCAGGCTGCATATTTTGGAGTCTTTGGACAGAAAGGAATCAAAGATGTTTTGATGGCATTTCAACTCCTATTCACTTTTTGAAAGCTAGATGTCTGGTGTATCTTTTTAGTTGGAGTAATATCTCCCCTGTAAATAAAGTTATTCCCTTTCTAGACTTTATTGGCTCAATGAGCCTAGCCTAATGGCCCATTTTTTTTGGTTAGCTCCCTATGATTAGAATAGCACATGATGTACTGGAGCTAACATCTCTTCTTTTGTACTAATTGCACCTTCTTGATGCCAGCAATACAACACCTTACTTCATCAAAAAAAAAAAAGCTGTGCACCTTATACCAGCCAAACAACTGCTTTTTAAAAGTTTAGGGTAATATATGGGCCTCGGAGGCCTGGAAGGAACAGTAAATGAAGCTTGCGAAACGATATAGTAATTCAAGGAAACTTTATAAATGAGTATCTTAGCAATTAGGAAGAGGAACTTTAAAATTCGGTACAAGAGAATTAGTTACTAGTTAGAAACTTAAAACGGTATCTTGCATCTGATCAAAAGCTTAAGAAGGCTTTTACTTCATATATTTCACTTCATTCCACTTCTTTTTCAACTTCCCTGATAATATTAGTGGTGTTTGCGTTTATAATTTTTCTTTTCAATTATGTAAATGTTTAATTTTTTTTCTTCATTCTGCGCCTACTCTTCATTAAAGCACACGCCTTAAGTTGCTCCTACCTTGGCAGTTTGCTACTACATTTCGTGTTATGAGGCTGATGCTTGCTCTGACTAACTCATAAGGTGTATTCATGCAATGCATGCCGACCAAGGAAGAATATCCAAGAAAAGTGAAAATTCTGACCAAGTCCCAATATGTATACTACTGACAAAAACATAATACAAAAAGATTGCAACTATAGCATTAACGAAAGGAGATAAGGTGAATGGCAGCAACCTTCCATCAATCTTCACATAGTTCATTGCAACATCATCTGAACCTGTATACTGCTTTCCTTTTACTAATCGGCAAGGGATCCCCACACTATCAGCCAAAACCTATACAATTTTCAGAAGCCAAAAAAATGTTGTGGCGTTATAGTTAAATCGTAGCAAATGAAAGGGTAAGGTTGACCAGTAGTAAGCGGAAGAGAAAATACCCAAATTAATAATGATGATGACGATCATGTACGAAGATAATGGTGTTGGTGGTGATGATGATGCAAAACAAAGTTAAAAGTACTATATCTGCAATGCACTAGGACACTTTGTTGTTCACGGCTCAAACTTTAATTAGCATAATTAAAGTACATATAAAGAAAGTGGGACAGAGAGGAAGGGGATATCTAGCAGATTCCGTTTGACAAATAAAAGCACCCTTGAGATGCTAATACGCCAAACATAAGTAAAACCTGTGGACGAATGTCATCTTACAGTCACAACTGATATCTATAAAAAGGATGAAACAGAACAATGAGATACAAAGGCAGAAGCAATGGATACAGAGTACTGACAAGTAGTTGGAAGGATCAAGAACTTGGAGACAAATACTGGAGTTAACTCAGATCAAATGATGTATCCAAGGCCCTCTGCTGACCTTCTGCCTAAATGAGTCTATTGTTCTATATTAAGATTGTACACTCTCCATCCACAGAACCAATAATTTTTCGCAATGAGTAGATATCGTTTTCACTAACCCAAAGAAGTCATACATTCAGTCTTAGCCAACTATAAAGTTAATTAGGCTTTGGAAGTGAGATAAGGGTATTCAGATATCTCATGCATTTTCATTTTCAACAAGCAAGAGAACTAAAAAGTCCATCACAATCTAAAATCAAATACGCTGTAGGTTTTAGAGTCCAAAGTGCTTAGTACCTTGAATAACAGTGCACGATGACGAGCCAATCCAATGGTCAAAGAACCAAGAGGCAAAACCATACTCCCTAGATTTGCCTTTAGATTAAAACTAAGACTTCTCCATGCAAGCAACATGCTGTCCGGATCCACAACTGGGCCTCCCATGTGGTCAGAAACGAGCACAGCAAGCTTCTGCATCAAACTGCTGTCTGAAAAATCTATAAGTTGTGACCTCAGCCCAACAGCAATCTCTAGAGCTCTCTGTTCAAGTTTCAACAACTTGGAGTCTGCAGCTTTACTGACAAGGACGGCTTCCCAACTGATATGATCTGATACTTCTGTTCTTTGCAGATCAATGAGGGATGGCATTTTTGAAGAATTGGACTCCATCAAGACGCCATACAGATCATAAAATCCATCCAGGATCTTGTCATCATAGCTTAGAGCATTGTAATTCTGTGAAGCATTGATAAATCTATAATATGAGATATGCATGTGTTAGAGAGGAATAGGACTAGAAAAGGGAAAATTTTGCACAAATAGAAACTAATTTGATGAAACAATAGAGCACTTATACACCACAAAATTAACCTCTCTACATTTGAGACAATCTAGCTGTCTACAATAGCACTTTCTGGTTATTAAAGACAGAAAACCTATTGGTACCACTTACACCAGACAAAGAATGCAACAACAACAACAACAACCCAGTATAATCCCACGTCTGGAGTCTGGGGAGGGTAGAGTGTACGCAGACCTTACCCCTACCCCGGGGGTAGAGAGACTGTTTCCGTAAAACCCTCGACACAAGGAAATGGAAAAGAGGCAATGGAACAGTAACAACAACATACGTCGGGAAGACAGTGCAAGCAACCTAAGAATCAGAAAAATAAATGGAAAAGGCAGCATCGATAATCAGAACAATGGAAAGGTACTAGGCAATCGGAGCAGAAAACATTACAAACACAACAAGTACCACTAACAAACTAAAGCAAGACACTACAAACTAGCCTAACACCCTCAATGGGAAGAAAAACGCTCAACTACCTACTAACCTACGACCCTAATGCTCGCCCTCCAAACCTTTCTATCTAAGGTCATGTCCTCGGTAAGCTTGAGTCGCGTAATGTTCTGCCTGATCACCTCTCCACAATATTTCTTAGGCCACCCTCTACCTCTTCTCATACCTGACAAGGACAACCGCTCGCACCTCCTAAACGGGGCGTCAAGGCTTCTCCTCCGCACGTGCCCGAACCATCTAAGTCTCGCTTCCCGCATTTTGCCATCATAGAACCAATTCGGGTTCATGCATGGTCGTTCAACTACGGAAGCTATTCATCTTATCAGGAGGTTGGTGGAACAGTACAGGGATAGGAAGAAGGATTTACACATGATGTTTATTGACCTAGAGAAAGCGTAAGACAAGGTCCCGAGAGAGGTTCTTTGGAAGTGTGTGTTTGGAGGCTAAAGGTGTTCTGGTAGTATACATCAGGTGATTAAGGACATGTATGATGGAGCTAAGACTCGGGTTAGGACAGTGGGAGGTGACTCAAAGCATTTTCCGGTGGTTATGGGGTTACACCAAGGATCTGCGCTCAGTCCTTTCCTATTTGCCTTGGCGATGGACGCTTTGACGCACCATATTCAAGGAGAGGTGCCATGTTGTATGTTACTTACTGATGATATAGTCCTAATTGATGAGACGCGAGGCGGTGTCGACGAGAGGCTGGAGGTTTGGAGACAGATCCTGGAGTCTAAAGGTTTCAGTTGGGCAGGGCTAAGACAGAATACTTTGAGTGCAAGTTCAGTGACCTGACGGGGGAAGCGGACAGTGACGTGAGGCTTGATTCACAAGTCATCCCCAAAAAAGGGAGTTTTAAGTATCTTGGGTCAATTATCCAGGGGAACGAGGAGATCGACGAGGATGTCACACACCGTATAGGGGAGGGATGGATGAAAGGGAGGTTAGCATTTGGCGTCTTGTGTGACAAAAATGTGCCACCGAAACTTAAAAGCAAGTTTTATAGAGTGGTGGTTAGACCGGCCATGTTGTTTGGGGCAGAGTGTTGGCCAGTCAAGAATTCTCATATCCAGAAGATGAAAGCAGCAGAAATGAGGATGTTGAGGTGGATGTGCGGGCATACTAGGTTGAAAAAGATTAGGAATGAAGATATTCGGGCTAAGGTAGGGGTGGTGCCTATGATATAGACACTGACCTCCTCACCTTCACTTCCACCATCCTCTCCCACACTTTCATAGTATGACTAAGTAAACACCAGACAAAGAATATGGAAACAAAAAAAGAGGAAATATGTGCAGAGCAATTGACTATGATATCTCCACAGCACAATAGAGATTCAAACTATAGACTTTTGCCTGTGGCAAATGAAGGTGCTCGTAATGCATTGAGAATCATCTGTCATATGAGCTAGCAGGAAACACTACACTGAGATGGCGCCTAACATGCTAAGTTGCGCGGACTCTTCAATTTTCATGTCGTCCCCGTCCCAATACGAGACGGGGACGGGAGCAGGATACGTCCCGGATACAGTCAACTGACTTTGGACACTTTGACCGGAGTCCATCGACAAATTTGGGAGAAAAATTGATATTTTGATTTCTCCTTCTCAAAAATAAAAGAGATTTAGGAGAATGAAAGAATAATGTCCATCTTGGAGAATGAAAGATTGAATTCTACAATACTCATGTAAGTTTTTCACAGAATCTCTCAAAATTTACAATATTTTTATAGCTCTATTTTTTATTAGCCGAATCCTCGCACTCGTATCCATATCCGGATCTGCACCCCCCGAATCTTAAAATTTTAGATTTTGCCGAATCTGATACTCGGATCCATCCCCGTATCGGATACCCGCACCCGAGTCCGAGCAACTTAGCTAACATGTGACAAGGTGGGTTTTGTGTGTGACCAGAGTAATGATTACCCTCTCAATACTACCAAAATAAAAAATGTAAATTTCTTGCGAATGCGAACCTTCCTAGATGGCATGTCAACGTTGCAAAAGAAAGTTTGTGCTCTTCATGTGTAGTCTTTGGCACTGTTTCCTCTAAACCCATATTTCTAAGCGTATTCCATTTCTATTTTTTTGAGTAATTTCAATTCCAATAATGTCAGTAGAGTTTGTACTTGGCATCTCTCTCTCCTCACTTATATCCATCAAGTACTTGTACTCATTGATCACATAATTCCTCAGTCAAGCTAAACTCGGCTTTTTCCCGCTACTTTCACTACAGCATTTTGAATTCTAATATTTCCAGTAACTTATATGTCTTACTAATAGGTTCTCATCCATAACACAACCCAGGACCTCATGATATGAGTATTTGTGTTGGTTTCCTTCCATGGGAAAACAGTGTACCTCCTAATTGCTACAAATTGAACTTTTCTTTTTAAGTTCTTTCAATTTCTCTTCTTTTTTTTTTTTGTGACACCAATGGTGTCCGAACTAGCTTTCGCACACCTCGACTATTCCACTGGGTACTTGGTACCTTCCACCTGCATAGGTACCGAGAAACTCTGCCCATGAAGGACTAGACAGATGGGAAGAAATCACCTAGTGATTTTTGTTCCTGTTGGGATTTGAACCCTGTCATGTAAAATTCATGCTCCAGTCAGCTTGAGGCCATCCCCAGACTTAGCCGAGAGCCTAAGTGCTTTTATTCAGCATTAGGATTAACGAATCTAATAACCAACACCTTGAGGAATGACAAATACAATCAGCAGCAAGACAACTACCATTACCATTACACAAACAATGCTGGAATTTTAAAGGCTGAATTCCATAAACAACTAAAAAGTAGATGCCTGTTCAGCAGTATTTCGACCAAAATCCACAGAAAAGACATACAAACTTCAAAGGCATACTCCATTTATCACATCAAAGTAAAATCAATATATGCTCAGTCAGATCAAAAGGGATTGAATGGCATAGCCATTTCCTTTCTTCTTCTTTTTTTGGTGAAATGAAATCGATATACAATATATTTACCTAAAAGATTGCTAAGCTATGCCTTAAAGTGCATAAAGCAAAGTAAACTAAGAGTTGGAATATGAATGGAACCAAATAGATAGCGACGAACATACCCAATACCGATATGCTACAACTTCTGCTGGAGCATTCTCTGGGGCAGAAGAGCCTAAACTGATCTGCTTAACAGCCTCAATCTGCACCGCCTCGGGGTCTTCCTTCGCACTCAACTCCAGAGCCAACTGAATTTGATACTCTTCCTCTACACCGGGATCCCTGGAGTTGCTAGACTCCGAATCACGCTGTACAGCATCTAAAGCAGCATCCAATTCACCAATAGTCACAGAGTCAGAATGTTCCATTCTGTTCCCTCTACTCACATTCGAGGAAGACGGAGGACTAGGACTTTTCCGATTTGTAACTGAATTTAACCATCCTGAAATTGCTGAAAAAGGTTTATTATCAGACCCCTGAGAATTTCTAGAGTTTGAATGCCTTTCAGGAGATGAAACATCACTCAGTCTCTTGCTCTTTGAGGATGATGTTGACCCTTCTGAATCTTCTGATTGATTGGACCCAATATGCAGTTTCTTGAGAAAATTTTTCATGTTGAATTCACTATTCACTAAACCACAATACTTAATAGTACTAAAGAAACAAAAAAGCTGGCCATAAACCTCTCCATTGTCGCACTCCAATCATGAATCAATCTCAATTACAAATCACTTACCTTAAAAGTAATAACAAGAACTCCAGAGTTTAAGCTTTTCCAATAAACCTTCTAAGTCAGCATCCATAAACTTGACCAAAATCAAATCCAAGAACCGAACTTTGCTTCACTTCTGAATAGACCCCAGTTGTCACTTCTCTCCTGAACAGCAAAAAGACTCAATCTTGAAAACAAATCAAGAATTCACCCTAAAGAACATTCATATATTCAGTACACACAAAACCAATCTACAATCTTGAAAAAGGTTGCTCCTTTATTGCCTTAACAACAAGAGCAAACCAATAAAGGGGTAGCAATAAAAGATATAGAAAATGGTGCTTAAATGACATGGAGAAGAAAGACAAATTGTATAGTCGAAATAATAAATGTATAATTAAAGTGAAAAGGGGTTCAGTGGTCAGATTGGGAAAGGGAGTAAGGGCAAAGACAGCAAAGACCAACTAGTGGGGAGTAGGACCTCAATAATCAGAGCTGACCCACTTGGTTTTTCTGAGGTTAAGGTACCACCACTGGTCCGAAGAAAACAAAGAAATAAGTTTGTACTACAAGTATTAAAAAAAATGGAGTACTAGTACTAAAGTATTTTGCTGGGGAAGAAAACCAACTTGCCTGCTTTGGATCTCTCTCTTACACACACACACGCACTACTGGATGCCTATTGGCTGTTTTTGCTCCCAACACAGTACTAGGAGTTGGCAACTATGAGAGAGGCAATAAGTGGTAAACTTGCTGTAACTACAAAGAGTATAATATTGGAAAAGAGTATTATAATAAGTGGTACCCGCATTGGAGCCTGACTATAGTCGAATTCGCGTCGAGTAGAACCTCATTCGGGCAGTAGCGTTCCCTACGAAGAATTTTTTTATATCCAGAGCTCGAACCTAAGACCTCTAATTAAGGGAGGAGCAGTATCATCCAATGTACCACATTCTTTGCAAAAGTACAACTCGTTACGTTTGCATAAAATGAAGAGGCAAAACTCAATTAACTCATAAGTAGCTCTTTTAAAATTCGATAAAACAGTTAAATTTATAGCGTGGTTTATAGATTGATTCGTCCCCAAAATGGTAAATAAATTAATGAAATGCAAGATTTAGCATTGAAATTGAGATAAAATAGCGGACACCTGGGTTGCGGGAGCAAGGCTTCCAAAGACAGCAATAAGAATATTGATAGACAGAAAATAAAGTATTGTTTTACTTGGAATAATGTGTAGCATAAGTTTGTCAGAAATTTTCGTGTCATACAATGCCTATTGAAATCACTATTTATCGCTAAACCTAGGGAACAAGGTCCTAAAATCAAGCCCCTCTTAAATGACAATAATAAGGACCATTGATGGATATGCAACAGCAGATTATGAATGCTAAAATTCTCTGTAATGGATGTGTATTTAATGCTGAGGAATACTCATTTTGAATGTCATCTGGTGGCAAATATTAGTTTGTCTCCGTTGATAATGCTTTCGTTTTCCGCATATTTCTGGTTCCATGTGTCATTCTCTTATTCGAGTTTAATGTGAACCGCTTTTACCCTAAATAAAACTGTGTTACTCTTTCGTTTCAATTTAGATATCTTACTTTCATTTTTAACTTGTTTTAAAAAAAAATATCATCTTTCTAGAGTTAGGAACTTAAAAGATTGAAAGGGTTTATATTATGAATCTACAAGAATAAAGAATAGTGCCGGAGTAGAATTTTCTCTCTACTGAATGGTGAATGGCTATTGGCTGTTTTTGTCCCGACATTGTACTAGGAATTTGCAAATAGGAGAGTGGCAACAAGCGGTAAACTCGATGTAAGAGTGAGATATTGGAAAAGAAACTAACTTTTCTTTATTGTAGTACTTTTTCTATTAATGAACGGCCAAAACTCGTCCTCCTCTATTCTACTTTGCATGACACAATTATTATTTACAAAATCAAAGATATTCTACCTTTATTCATGATTTTATTAATTATTATCGTAATTTTTACATATTTTTACGTAACTTTTAAATACATAAAGTTTATATTTAAAAAAAAAATAAAAATAAAATGTCTGAATTTACACTTAAAATCAAATACTATGACCACCGCTAGAAATTCGGCCAAAACCGACCGACGGTCAAAAAACTGACCGAAGTCGGTTGGTTTTTTAAAATATTTTTATTTTTAACTTTTTTCACGAAACCGACTGACTTCGGTCGGTTTTTTTGGCGCAAAAACTATTTTAGCATTACGCGAAATTTATTTTTTATGAAACCAACCGAAATCGATCAATTTTTCATATAAAATAAATTAAAATTAATATTCAAAAAACTGACCGATTTCGGTCGGTTATTTCAGTTAGTCATTTTAAAAACGACCGACTTCGGTCAGTAATTTTATATTTTTAATAAAACCGACCGAAATTGGTCGGTTCTTTTCGTGCGTAAATGCAATTAAAGAGTACAAATAAATTAAAAAAAGTCTTAAACCAAAATCTACCTATAGTCTAGTGGTAGAATAGTATCATGCCATAATACAGACCCTGGTTCGAGTCTCAGACGCTGCATTTTTTAATTGCATAATTAAAAATACCGATCGAATTTTGTGGAAAATACCGACCGACTTCGGTCGGTTTTTTCGGTAGATTTTTTCTTTTTGGACCGTTTGTGAAAATTAATTTACCAACCGAAATCGGTCGGATATTGCGACGGACTTCGGTAGCTATTTTTTACCGACCAACCTAATTCGACGGATTCAAGTTGGCCGGAAATCGATCGATTTTTTTAATTTTTCGACCGATTTCGGTTGATATTTCTGGACGGTTTTAGGCAGTTTTCTAATAGTGGACCCTCGTATCCTAACCTAGCAATCTCTTTTTCCCTAATTGGTTGGGTAATGGAGATTCTTTTTGTTAATAGGATTGTTCAACTTAAATCAAAACATGTATGTAAATATGCAAATTTCACGATAATTAAAAGATGTTTCTCATATAGTTAATCTCTCAATAGTTAGTTAATAGTGTAATTATAATTGTGTTTACTTTGAAAATGACAATTATAATTAGATTTGATTTTGTGGTTCTAAAAATACGTGATTTATTTTTATGCTAGTTGTTAAGCAATAGATGCTAAGTGTGAAACTAAAAAATAAGAGAAAAGCTTGAAGGCTTTGTGTCAAGCAAACCGAGTGACTGAGAATCGGGGCCTCGAGCTAGGTTATACGGGGCCTCGGGGTCGAGCTAAACGTTAGGTTGTGGACAGTTGATGAAGAACTAAAGGTTTTGATGAAGGCTCTTAACGATCAATAATGAGTAATAAATGAAGAACAATTAATGAAGCACAATAAATGTAAGCAGTAAGATCAAAGGAAAATGTGTTTAAGCTAGAAAGCAAAGAATGTTCTTATTCTTATATTGAATGTCATCCCCCTTTACAAAATGGTAAGTTTTCCCTTTATATAGGAAGGGAAATCCCAACATAGTACATGAGTAATTATTACAAAAAAATATAGCTGGTACAGCTATTCACTAGTCTGGTACAGACTAGTGTTTCTCTTGCAGGTATTATCAGCTTTGGTCACGTGCCTTGGGAACTTCCCGCTTGTTCATGGTAACCATCGATCTGCGCTGCCCCGAGGTCGGTCATAAAGAACCCTCGAGGACGAACCTCGAGCTGTGTGATAACTAGGGATTATGATGCATTTTACTCCTTCTTGCTTAAGTTTTGATTAGAAATGTGTACAAAATAGTCCCAAAGGCTCACAAGTTGTGCTTGATTGCAGGTTTGATCATCAAGGTGACAAAGGGTCAAAAACCAGCTCAAAAAGAAGTGAAACTTGCACAAGTACCAAGACAAGACAAAGCTCAGTCAAACAGGGCCAGTGCGGTCGCACACCATTCTGTGCGGTCCGCAAGGATGAAGTTCAGAGACTGTCTTTCAGGCCATTAGGCAATGCGGCCGCACTTGATTTCGTGCGGTCCGTATTAGTTTCATCGCGGCCGCACTCGATTTCGTGCGGTCCGCAGAGCCAAGGTTCAGAGAGATGGCAAATTGAAGAAATATGCCCAATGCGGTCCGCGGTCTATTTTGTGCGGACCGCAGTAGAAGCCACCGCGCCCGCGGTGCATTTTGTGCGGTCCGCGGTGGCCAAACTTCAGAGAGCAGAAAAGTCAAGCCAAGAGCCTTAGTGCGGCCGCACTCGATTTTGTGCGGTCCGCACTAACCCCGCAGGGGTATTTTTGTCTAGAATTTTCAGCCAAGTATAAATAGTTTCTTTTCCCATTTTTAGGTAATCAGATAGTTTTGGACGTAGAGTTGCGCTTGTGACTTCGTTTCTTTTACTACTTTGAGTAATTTTAGCTTAATTTCACCATTGAATCTTCAAATTTTATTTAGCAATTAATTATGAGCTTATCTTCATATATTTCTTATTTTTCTCTTTAATCATGAGTAGTTAGACCCATCAGCTAGGGTTGTGGCTCAACCCTAGTGTGGGTAATTGATGGGTCTTATGTTATAAGGTTTGATTGTCTATGGGTGTTTGATATTTGGACTAATTTATGGTTTTGTTGTTGAATTAGTGGTTGCAAACACTAGTTTATGCTTTGTTGATTTTGGCTCTTCTTGAGAAAGAGAGCCTAAGTCTCTAGAATTAGTCCAACAAGGAATTGGGGCATACTCAAGAGAATTGATAGCCCCAATTAAAGGGTTAAACCGAGAGATCGTAATACCCGACTTGAACCTTAATTGCTTGCACAAATGTTCATACCCAATTGATCTTGAGAAAGTCAATTAGGGCAAAATCACTTGAACTGCCGAGAGGCATAGAGTGGGTAGAATCGTGCAATGGTTATATCGTAATCCCCAAGTATGGCAAACTAGCCTTAGGCATAAGAACCCATTAATTATCCACCTAGGTGAAGGTCACTTCCCTAGTGCCTTTTATCTCATTAGAACATCTTCAATAGCTTCCTCTTAGCATAACGTAGCTCAATTTAGCATATTGGTAGTATAAATTTAGAAGTTAATCAAAAAGCCAAAAATATTTAGAAGTGCAATTAAGATCAATTACACAACTCTAACTTGATAGAAACTCAATTCCAATTTCTAGCTCCCTGTGGATATCGATCACGACCTTATCGGGTAAAAGCTGCTTCGACCTCTCTTGCTACTCTTTAGTAGTATAGGATTGCCTTCGATCACTTTTTGGCGCCGTTGCCGGGGAGCTAACGGTCTTGATTATCTATCTTAGTAGTTTTGTGAATTGTTCTTTTTTCCTTCTTTGTTACTAATTTGTGTGTGTCCCAACTTCAGGTGCAAAATGGCAGCAAACAACAATGACCCTCTTGGCAATGTGGTTGCGGGGGAGGAGGTAGATGAGATTGGAGATAATGAGGTGCCTCTTGTACCTCAAGGACAACGTAGAGGCCGTCAGGCCAATGCAAATGAAAATATACCAGACCCTCCTCCCCCACCTCCA